TTTACATATAACGCAGCCGCCATTTTGTACATCACAGCGAAGCTGCGATCACGCAGCGGTTTTACCTTGTGACGTCATTGCGCGGTTGGCTTTTACAGCACATGTAAACAAAGATGAAATAGTATTTATAAATGATGAAATAGTATTTATGAAGAGAAATGGATATTGACTACTCAAACGAATCTTCGAGCGATGGTTTTGGAAGCAGTGGATCGAGTTATAGCGAAGATATGAACGTCGAAAGAGACGTAAACATGATTCAATCTTACGTGTTTGAACCAAATGGCTTCGTCCAAGTCTTCGTCAATTCTGACAAAACCACCAGATTTCAGGAGTCAGGACACGAACTGGTAATTATTTACTAAATTTGCTTCTATTATTTATGTTGTAGATATGTAGGTTAAGTTTTTTCAGCAACATGCACAACTATATATTATTATGGGCGGCATTACTATACATTATTATTATGTTTGTACTTCAAATAAAGGTAAAAAATGTATTAAAAACTTTATTATGTAATATACTAATATTTACATTGAATTTCGTGGTTGAAGTTGAACCAACTATTGCTAAAAATCGTAAATTCAACTGCATGTAGGTGCCTTTGTACTCACTGCCAAATAATGGATAGGGAAGAAGAAAGTATTTGCTGCCAAGAGATCCCAGCTTGTGTTTCTATAAACCAAGAAGCAGCACAAATTGAGGAGATACCTGTCCCAGAATGTATTACTGATAACCCTGCATTTCAGTATTTATGTCTAAATTATTGGGTCTTACAGGTTGCTTGGAGCGATTATAGACAACATTATGGCATAAAGGCACATGAAGGGCCTGAGGATATATTAGGCAAAGAGATAAGGGTCTCCTTGCCATCTTGGGCAGTTAGTTGTATTTGTGCACACTTCCCACCACCAGGTTTAGAAGAGGACTTTGTTTTTGAGGGTTTTAAATTTGCAGATGAGTAATTAAATATGTGATAGAAGTTCTCATTTCTTACTTTCTGTATATTATTGTAATATTGCTATTTGGCTTGCTACATTATTAAAATTATTTTCAACCTACAGTAATCTGCTTGTTTT